GGAGCTTGAGATCTAGATAAAAATCTCAAGCGTACATGATGTTCATTCCCAAAATTATGTCTTCTTCAATATCAGCCACCAGAGAAAGATCTAAAACGCTCGAGAACTGGATTATAACGTGACATTTTCTTTTCAAATTTGAAAGAGCAATTTGACAATGACAGCACAGGATGACGTTTCACGGTCGATGATTATCGGGTTATTTATACATTGCATTAATACAAAATCTTTGATTATGTTGATTCACCGATGGCACCCAGTGATTTTTCGTCGAAAAAGTGCGTCGTACTCATGATTGTCGCCACTATGAATGTTTTGGACCAATGTTTCTCCTGGAGTCTTTCCCTTTAATACCAAGATAGAGTGAGAGCTTCCACATTATCAGAGCACGGGTCTCTGCTTCGCTTATAGTGCATTTGCATTGGTTGCTAGATTAGCTATTTCTATTGGGTTGTGCGAAACGTAACCTACTACCCCCTTACCCCCCCCCCCGCTATATTTCGTCCGCGTTTGCGCTACTTGCAGAACGTACAGTGAATACCACACGGAAGATAATGGAGTCTGGCTTCTCTTCTGATTACGGTTTGGTTTAAATGATGTAAAATTAAATTAGAGTCGTGCTGTGATTGGTGGAGGCCACAAGTTTTTTTTTTAATTAAAATATGATTATAATTTGGTGTTAAATGGTAATTTTATTGGATAGAGAAGCTTTGACCGGTGTTTCCTGTATAAAATGTATCTGGTTAAATGGCGGCTGTACGTTCTGTCAGCGACGTAATCCGGAATGTATTACGTGTTTAAAGTACCCACTGCTATATTATTATTAGTCCGTAAAAATAGCTTAAACCTAGGATAATTTTTCCTAACGTATAACATTTATCTATTATTGCATGTTCCCCTAGTTATTGAACTTATTCTATACTTAATATAGATGATAGATTTTAGCTGTTTCTTAGCGTTTCTCGTTTTTTTTTGTGCTGGTTTTCTTTTGCGTATTTCGAAGTTTTCGAAAAACTCCTTCATGCTTTTTTGTACCCTCTATTTGTTTGCTTTCGCTTTTTTGTTTTATTGGTTGTTTTCGTTACTGTTATTTCGTTTTTGTTGAGGGAATAAGAGGAAGATTCATTAATAATTTGGCTTCCAATTTTTTACAAACAAAAATAACTATGACGGTTTTCCTCTTTGAACGCCCTGTACATTAATTTCGTCTAGTTGTTGTTGATATATTAAATTTTGTCTCTTATACTAAAAAATCTCGCTTGTTTTATCTGCCAGTTTCATCCGAAAATTGTGACAAAAGTTGGTTTTTTGATCTCTCTACTTATTTGTTTTTTTGTCGGTTTTTATTATTTATTCTTGAGTTTCTTGATATAGTTTTCGTTTTAAGCATCGTTGAAATACTTTTGTTACAATTGAGGTGGTCGAGCTTTGAAGCACACACGTTGAAGCACCTGCGCGCGCAGCTTAAGAAAGACAATTAAATTGCTGTAAGCTTATCGCGTAATATGCCTCTTTCAGCTGACAGAAGAAGAAAATTAAACTAACACTCTTTTGCTTAGAAATATTGTTATATAAGTATATATTCCTAAGGCCCGTCAGTTGCCTTATTGTTTCATTTGTATTATTCATAGTTTTTTTTTTCTTATAAAATTTTTTCACTATATTTTTTATATATTTATGTATTTTTTGTTAAACTTTTGTTTGTTGTTGGGTAACTGACAATACTAGTTACGTTGTGTGGGTTTTCTTACTCTTTAATCATTGATGATCTAGATTAAGGTAAACGGTGTTATTATTTTTTGTACTGTTCCATTTTGACTATCTGATAAAAATTTAAAACTAATTACAAGTAGAATTGGTGAGAAGAGCTTAGATATTAACGAAAAAATGTAATTTTTACATTAATTATTTAAAAATTATCAATTTCGATTATATCAGAGATGATCATTGTCATTTTACGGATAATTATCGAGGACCTGTTTAAAAAATAATTACCCTGTGATCCAAATAGTTGTTAATCCTATATTTTTTTTAATCTGCCGATAAAATTACCTGAGATTCATTGTAATAATTCAAGAGTGATTTAGGAGAGGTGAGCCACAAATAAACAAAATGATCCTTTTAATAATCCACTCTCCCAATTTTCTTAATATATATCTGTAATAACTTTAAAAAAATTACCTTGTATATACATATATATATTTAACAGTGGCTCGTTATTATTATATTATTTTTTCATTTTATCAACAACAATTTTGTGATATTTTAGTAATGATTGTTATTTGAAAGTCACATCACAAATACCGCAAACATCTAAATGTTTGTTTGTATAGGTAACGAAGACGGGCAATTGCCGCTATGATGTTACTTTCCTAACGAGCAATTGTTTGTCTTCAATATAATGAACAATGACCCGGAGTTAAAATAGTACCTTAATGGCTGTTTTACCTCTAACGGTTAACTAAATATGCTTGTTGCCTAACATTTCTGTAATTTTCCGATTAAACAGAATCTATAAGTCTGACTTTTGTCGATTTTAACAATTTTGACGTTTGAACGTTCGTCTAGCACTTGTCACTTGTCGAGTTTGACGTATATGTTGAAATCATTAAACGTTTGGTTTCGAGATGGAATTATTGAAGTAAAGGGGATGAAATGTTGGGTAAATTGGCATTAATTTTAGGAATTCATTTACAATAATCCTGTAAGAGGTCGAGGTTATTCAGAAGTAAGGAGAAGAACACGTAACATAAAAATTGACAGATTATTTTTTGAAAAATATAAATATAATGTATAATATTGATATTTATGTAATGATCATTAAATGTAAAATAAATAAGAGTGTATGCATGATATTTTGGAAAAAAATAACATATTATATTGGACAAATTTTCTCCTTATTGTTGAATTGACGACAGGCGTTTAGAAAAAGTTGTTGGTTGAGTTTCGATTCGGTGACGCCATTTTGGGACGAAAATATCACAATTTTCTTTGTTAAAATAAAACGTTGATATTAAAAGTTGTTTATTCTTGTAATATTGTATAAAAAATTAAGGGTTCGTTTTTCGGGAAATGTCTGGGCTGATTCTACACGCCTGTCGTTTGGTTCTGGTGAACATATTTGATAAAGTGTGTGATTAGTTTTTAGGATACGCGCCGACTGTCCTTGCCTTTGACATTTGACGTTTCTCCAGGAGTTGAGTTTTATTTTTTTTGTTACTCGTGCCATACACTTGATCGAATAATGCGCTCATTCCGCTGTCTAACTAAACTACCTAATTGTCCAAAATTCTGTTTTTGTAATTTTAATTTTTAAGTAAACGGTGAAACTACTGTAAAATAGTCAAACATTTTGTCAAGTTATAATGTTCACGTTATGTCTCACAGACATAATGCGTCGATTGATATATTATTGTTTATTGATTAAATATAAGAATAAACTAATGATGTGATGATGATCAGTAGATCATACAAAAGGGGTTCGGTGCCCCTAATTTTCTTGAGTATAGTAGAGTTAATAAACCAATATGTCAAATTTATTAAGCTTTTTATTTTTCTCAATCCCAAAACCCATTAATACAAAATCAAATTATTTTTTTTTTCGCTCTAGCGATAAAGATTGGAAGTATCATTAAACTAGATTAATTTGTAAATTAGACAAGTCACATAGGTAAGTATTGAAGCGGAAGGCTAAAAGGGTAATCTTGGTGAAGCAACCCTGCAGAGCACACCCAAGTAACAAAAAAGTTATGTAAGGATTATAACGACGTTGCAACAGCTTGTCTTAAAACAACAACTTAACAACTTACATATTCTAATACACTATACCGTCATTGTATAAAGAGCCGTAGTAGGATACTCACCATGTAAAAGTTATTGGAGGCAAACGCGCCTGACACCTATTGGTAGAATAATTCAACTAAAGATTTTATTTGCTAGTCAAATTAATTGACAGTATGTATATATAGTTTTAGTTATTAAGATTAAGGGTCGATCTTTTCACCTCTGAGTAAGTTTATTGTAGGCTTACTTGACAGATTAACCCTTAACTGGTATGTTGGGGTCTCGCGTGACCCCAAGTATTTAGAATCGTTAATAATTTTTCACTGTACTCAGTAACTTGCTTTAGTTGGTCCTTAAGAGCAGTACCGGTCTTATCTCATGTTTTCCAGATATTTACGTTTGGGTTCGCCGCTGACCCCAGTATACCAGTTACGTGTTTTTTTTAGTTTGTGGCAATGCGTCGATGAAACGTGTTAAACAGCTATCTCCATTTAACCGGATTTTCCAGGAGACCATTAAAACCACCCACATAAATTTCTGCACATGTCATAGGTAAAAACGCAATGGTATATTATTCGTAGGCACTAATAATATTTATTGAGAGACCAAAACTCACAAATTTTTTATTATTCTATTTTTTACAAATGAAATTGGGAGATAGCAGATTTTTTTATGGAGTTAGCAGCCTTTCATTATTGAATTATGTTAAGCAGTTTTGTACAAAAAATAATATACTTTAATTTTATATCAAAAGACTTTAATTTCTATAAAAGTAAGATTACATAGCTATGCATAAGGTAGGTTGTCGTAAAAGTCGTGGTAATCTTCTGGAAGAGTGCGTTTGATTTGTTGTAGGTCTTCATATTTACGGGCCTTGATCGGAAGCCTATTCTTATGCAGAACTTGCAGTTCATCCCACTGCTTATTAGTTATAACTGCCCTTCGCTGAGGCAGAAGTGACCAATCATCACTAAACTTTTCTTTATAAAATATTTCACCTTCTGGTGAATATTTAATAGCCCGAATATCGGTTACTTTACTGTCTCCTTTGACTCTTCCTGGGCGAATACTTTTATAAGCCATAACATCAATGAATTTTTTAAAAAATGAATGGTTCAAATAGGTAACGTCGTACGGCTTAGGCTTTCTTCGAGCAGCCCTGCAATACTTTATGTATTCTGCGGGTACATTTATTACTTTGTTGCGTAGGCATCTTTCTATATGCTATCTGCTTCCATTTGGGTATGACCAACTTCTAAATACTTTTGTACTATTGTTATGCTTTTTGTAACGGCCAAGTTCAAAAGCGAGTTTGCAAGGATAGGGTTGCGGTTTTGGTAACAGCAACCATCACTGTAGATAATTATTTCGTTATTTTTAGTATCGATAGTTGGCAATATTTTTTCTTGCAGAAAGCAAACCCAAATGGAAGCAAATTCTTCTGAGTTAAGGCCGCCCTCGGTCTCGTTCCACAGAAAACAGAACCCATCATTATTTCTTAAATTATAAAAACACATGTTATGAACCTGCAGTTTTGTGCGATAATATAATGTAGAGACTTGTGACTTGGGCGCCATGAAAACAGCTTGCATATCTGCCGTGAATACGAAACTATGCTCTTTTTTGTCTTTATCTTTCTCCAACCGTGCCTCTTTTTTCCTAACCATATGCAATTGATAGTCTTCTTCTGTAACTGTTTCAACTTTATATGATGCACATTTTTCGCATTCATCTTTTTTGGGTCTAAACAAAGCCATGTTCCTCATTTTAAAAGCATCATTAAAATTTGTTCTTGATAGTGGTTCAATACTATGTGATTTGCACCAATCTGATACATAAAAGTTGTAAAGTGCATTTTTAGATGGCCATTCCGGTAATAAATATTTTTTGCTAGAAGATGCTCTACAATAATGGGAATCCATGACTGGAAGAGAATCTAAAAACTCATTTAACTTTTCTTTCTTAGACTTAAATGGTTCCGCGCGATCATTTTTTAATTCTCTTAAGTTACTTGAAATCTTGCTAATTTTAAAATTGTTCTTCCAGTTCAGAACTGTCCACCTTCCAATAGCCAGAGTATTTAAAAACATTGTTTTACAGACCCGTACATTATTACCGTCAATCCTTAAGTAGTAACATAGTGATTGAGATCTTCTAGATTTATTTTCTTCTTTTCTATCGCGATGTCGTTTTGTTGTAAAAATTGTTACTGCATTGTCGATGTACACTTTCTTTTCTCCCCACGTAAGGTCTGTCCAGAAGTGATTAAATACTTTTTTTCTATCATCTTCAGTTATTATGGCACATTTCATTACACTTTTTTCTTTATTTTGACAACTACATCTTATCTTCATCTGTTTAGGTCTTTGAGGTTTTTCGTAATTCCACTTTCCGTCAGTTTTTATGCGACCAAGGTATGATTGACCCTTTTCCCTGAGCCTTTTGTTTTTTACAGCAAACCAATTTTCTTTATTAACTTGCAGTCCTCTTTTACGCCTCTTACATTTTTTTGGATAATTCGAATCTGATGAATCCGAATCAGAAGTTTCTGAATAAGGTACCAGTGCCTGGTTCATGTCTGTGTCACTGTCATTAGAAATTTCTTCTAAATTTAAGTCATGTGTTCTTATATTGGGAATGACTTTTTCCGGAATGTTTTCCTCGCTACGTATTTCTGGTAAAGAGATGACATATTCTTTCAATTTTAAAGGAGGTGGCTGCTTTTCATAGTCGTGGAGTATTTTTTTCTTTTTTTAACACAACAAAAATCGCATTTTGACCTGTAAGTGGAGTTAGCAGGTTAACACGTTTCACCGACGAATGGCGAATAAATATTTACCAACAATTAGAGGACTTAGCCGCAAACCTAAGTGACATAGTGGAACCTGTTGGCAATTTTTTTGGTGAATCCTACGAAGATATTAGTGATGCGCCAACTGAACAAAGTGATCATGACTCTGCGTCTGAAGTCGAATATTCCGAGAGCGAAGATGATAATGGTGTTGCACGTGGAAGCGAGGCAAGTACAAGTCAAGATACAACCAGTTAATATTACGCAAAGAATCGTTATAAGTGATCTAAAAAGGCACCAAAGAAAAATGTCAGAACTCTAGCTTACAATTTAGTAACGCACTTACCTGGAATAAAGGGGCCAGCTCGGGATACAAAACCTTCCACACCATACGAATCTTGGAAGCTGCTCTTTACTGATGACATTTTACAAATTATCTTAGAACACACAAACGCCAAAATAACTGAGTTGGCTGTAAAATATGAAAATAATCGCATCTCCTATGTCGACCATCTAGATTAGTTGAACTGAAAGCGTTTCTGGGACTTATTTATTTAGCATCGACATTCAAATGCGGGCGAAAAGACGTGACATCCCTGTTCTCGACAGATGGTACTAGTAGATCAATTTGCCGAGCCACAATGTCGCAAAAAAGTTTTTTATTTCTTCTAAGTGCAATTAGATTTGATGACACTACCAATCGGAAGGACAGAATTGCTGCTGGCGATAAATTGGCTGCTGTTTCAGAAAATTTTTAAATATTCATAAAAAACTGTCAAGTAAATTAGTCATGTCCGCAGTATGCTACTTACTATTTATTAAATGCTTTTGTGTATTTTGGAAAATGTAGCAAGGCAAAAAGGCAATACAGCGTACCCACCCTTAATGTACTAAAATTGGTATCACCAATTGAAAATATTAACAGAAACGTAACTGGAGATAACTGGTTTACATCCATTGAGATAATAAATGAATTAAAAGCTCGAAATCTCACGTATGTTGGAACATTTAGAAAAAACAAAAGGAAGATACCAGCTCAATTTTTGTCAAACAAAAATCGAAAAGTCGGTACCGCAGTATTTACTGGAGATCAAACGCGCCTAAGAAAAATAAAGCCGTTATTTTAGTCTCTTCGATGAATCATACGGATGATATTCATCCAGTCACTCAAAAATCTAAAATAATTGAGTTCTTTAACACTACAAAAGCTGGTGTAGACAGCTGGACCAGAAATGGGCAAGATACTCATGTAACCGAAGAACTCGTAGATGGCCTCTGACTGTTTTTCAGGCAATTCTGAATGTAGCTAGGGTTAATTCGTACGTTATTTTTAAAAGAGTAAACCCAAACTCAAATATGAAAAGACGAGAACATGGAATATCTCTGGGAAAGGAACTCATTCATGACTACCTAGTAAATATACTGAAAAACAACAAACTTCCAAGAAACTTGCGCCTCACAATGATATACTGAGAGTATCAGTGCCAGCGGATGAGAATAATAGTGATAAACAACAGTTGAAAAGACAGATGTACCATGTGTCCAAGATCAAAAGATTTAAAACATTCAACAAGGTGTTCTAAATGTCAAAGTTTTGTACAAACAACACTATAAAAATACAATAAAATGTACATCCTGCAATAACAACGATTCATTGTAACATTCCCTTCAGTTTTGTCATGTATTGAAATGCATTTTTTGTTCCAGAGGGCCCACTGAGGTTTAGATTAGATTAGATTAGGAGTTGGACGTTATTTGTCCTTGTCCACCGCAACCTTTTCAGATCTATTGTGGGACTGCGTTTTTTTTAGAGTATGTCGTCTAGCCTGGTCTTTTTTATTAGACTCCCGCATGTAGTTGCATGCATTTGGCTTTTCTTCGCCCAATGTTAGAAACCTCATTCCAGCCAGGCCTTCACATTGGCGCAGGATGTGGAATGATGTTTCCTCTTCTTCTTCACAGAACCTGCACAAACTTGCTTCTTCTGCTGGATTTATGACACTCATGTACCTTTTGAGGCGACAGTGTCCAGTAAGAAGTCCTACTGTTATCCTAATGATTTGACGCTTTTGATTCAGTAGGTCTTTCGTGAATTTGGCCGATATTTCCTTGATGAATTGTTTGGGCTATCTCAGTCTTGGATAGTTGTTCCACCATTCCCGAGACTCTTTTTGCGTCCATTGTTTAATGGATGCCTTGAACAATGCCTTAGCAACTCCACAGAAGGGTTAGGGGCTTGTCATGGCCTTATCCTAAGCCTTATCGGGCTAATTCGTCGTCCTTTTCGTTGCCCTGATATTCCTTGTCCCTTGTGTATAACTATATGATCATTTTGGGGTTTAGACAAAATGATGTTATCGTTACAGATCCTGTTTGACCATAAATGTTATTTTTTTTAATGTAAGTTATAACATACCTGTCAGTTTTGACATGTAAAATTAAAATGCAATTCTTTTGGTTTCAGAGGGTCGACTGAAGGGTATACGAAAGGATGTTATCTCCATATTTCCTGTCACCTATGACCCCAGGATACCAGATAAATTTCAAATTGCTTTGGGTTAACAACTCACTATGCAAAAAACTTAAATTAATGAGAACTTTATTTACATCACACTGTTACATAGTAACTCTCATTGTTACTCTTGTTTTCAACTGTATGACGGACTCATAATCGTTTAAGCCCAGAGTAGGGACGTTTACTTTTGTGATGAAACAATGTAGACGTTGCGGTGATATTACAATTTAATATCAAAGGTAAAACTAAGACCTTTGATAAAATACTCAGTACTCGGCAACAGACTGCTTCATAATATACACTACTACCTGTTACGTAAGTAGCAAGCGATCATTGGTATCTCCCCCTCTATGAACGCGGGACGAACTGTTAGGGTCTATTTATACTCCCTTATTATTAGTATTTGCATTAGTATTATGATTAAGCATTAAGTTGAACCTTCACAATGTAATGGGAACATTTATACTCGATTTATGATTAGTATTAGCATTAATATTTATGCTTAATAATTGACAGGTTCAACTTTTAAATTAAATATTAAATTTCTTCTTTTCTATAAAATGAATCAATGGCGTATTTGGCCTTTGTTTTTAATAGACAACGGATAAGGATAATTGACAATACACATATGATTATGTTGTTTATTTGTTTGTTCCAACAAGCTCGAAAACGATAATATTTCGGTACAAATCATGCTCTATATACAATTTTTGTGTATCAGCAGTGTTTACCGATTATAAAGTTGACAAATGACATGTCACCATGAGGAAGCAAAGGCCTCTTTTCTGTCTGATTTGTAGCAAATTTCTGCTTCTTTTTATCTGTTATAAATTTGAGACTTAAATCTGTTAAAATGTCCTTATATAAACCTATTTTTAAATAATATTAACTAATTAACTAGTAAAAATATTAATAAAAACACATTTAAAACTCAAATATCTTAAAAGAACACAACCGGCCTCTTACACATTTCTTCAGTAACCATATATTTTGTTGACTGCAGAATTATATCTTATTGGGTATTAGGTTTAAAAAAGAATTACTAATACTAATTATAAAACGAGTATAAATACCTTTTTTGAATGATTTAACAAATTTAATGCTTAATCATAATACTAATACAAATACTAATACTAAGGGAGTATAAATAGACCCTTAGGTCTGCCAGGTCTGCGATGTAAAGACTAAAGATAGCCCAGCAAACCATTCTGTTACATGTTCCCTCCTGTTACATAACTAAGAAGGATAAAATATACTTAGACTGTCCTGTGCGCGCTTTTATGTATTATTTATGGAACCGAATACCTAAGTTCAAACTTAACACCATAGTTATATACCATGTATATAATTAAAATATATGTTACAAAATTACATATCCGTTATATAAATTTAATCACATAAGGATTATATCAATTTATATATCTATGTGTAATCTACATTAAAGTAACAATTTGTACTAAATTATTTCGTTCAAAATGTTACATAGCGTATATATACATAAATGCTGTTGACCAAACGGTCCTTGAAATACACATGTTTTTTAGGTAGGTAAGTAGGTATATCTGGTGCATTATTTTTAGTAGCGTTTCAATGTTCAATGGTGGCTATAGGCGTTTTATGGAGGTACCTGTGGCATTTTTGGATTTATTGTGGAAAATAGCAGGTATGTTGTGTTTTTATAATGATATTGAGTTATTATACAGTGTGTCCATGGATGGGGTCCCCAAGGGGGAACAATCTTTATTATTCATTTTACGACCAAAAGTAATTCTTTATAAAAAGTTCTGCTTGTTGAGAAAATGGAGTTGCCTTATAAAAAATTTAGATTAAATGTACAGGGTGTTAATAAATTAGGAAAATATGAAAATGCTTCAAGAGGGAAGTACCATTATTTATTATTTTTAACAAAAATTTTATAAAACAAAGTTGTTTATAAACTAGCATAGAGACTAAATACAAATTTTTAAATAAAAATTTTAATATTTTAAAACAGAATATTAATAATTATTACTTTCATGTAATAATTTGCATTTTACAAAAAAAATCAAGATAGCCGATTTTGTATACGTTCATGTTATGTCAGCATTTTATTTACATCTGTCAGTATTTTTGACAACTGTGTTTTATAAAATTTTTGTTAAAAATAATAAATAAAGGTACTTCCCTCTTGAAGCATTTTCATATTTTCCTAATTTATTAACACCCTGTACATTTAATCTAAAATTTTTATGAGGCAACTCCATTTTCTCAACAAGCAGAACTTTTTATAAAGAATGACTTTTGGTCGTAAAATGAATAATAAAGATTTTTTCCCCTTGGGGACCCCATCCATGGACACACTGTATATGTGTACTGTATTTCGATGATACATTTGAGGTGTAAATATTAATTTTTGTTCTATTTTCAGGTCATGCTTGATGGGGCCCTGAATTTCGATGCCGTGGATCGTCGTTAATAGCAGATATTTTGTGATTTTTATGATGAATTTGGGTTATTATATTTGTGTGAAATATT